AGAGTCCTTACTCAACACTAGATTCACATATAAAGGAATGCAGAGAATTAGCTCCCTCAGAAAACTAATTCATTTTCCCCTTTATGCAGGTCACTCGGCTTGGGCAGTGAAGGCAAGTCAAGTCAGTAAACCAGTCTGTTTACTGGTTAACCAGTCACTTTCACTCGGTTCCCAAGCACTAACGTTGCACAGCCGAGTTTGGTTGGGGTGGCTGTAACCCTCTCAGAGCTCGCCCCGCAGCAGTGCCATGTGACAGTGCAATTAAATCTAGCCCTGGAGACTGAACTGTTCCATTCACAGAATGGCTACTGAGCAGGCAGCAGCAGTGCAGACTTTCCTGAACTGCATGACTAATGTGCCCTGAAATGAATCTGGAGGGATCACCTGGAGGGGTGAGAAGGTAGTTCAGTCTCCTTGACTTATCTGCTGAGACCGTCAGCCAGAGACCAGATTCTGTGTTGTCTCTCATGAGGCACAGCATAGAATGTGTAGATCGGGGAGGGGGCAGGGGAAAGGTGCATATTCTTGCAGGTGCATTTCTACTCTGGGAAACCAGCACAGTTGAGTTTACTGGGCTGCTGTTAGTTAAGGCAACTTCCCCACTGTAGCCAATAGTTTGCTCTGGGACCAAGAACTGCTGGAGTACAGACTTTCTGGCTATTACTTGTATTTCCAACTCTAGCCCTGACCTTGGCTGGCTCTATGATAGGGGCTATAAAGTGGGCATTGTAGGGCCATATAAGCTAGGTCTATGCTGCTCTTGTGTTGAGGGAATTGTCCTGGGGATGATTCTTTTCCCTTTAAGGCTCCTTTACAGTATGGTAGTGGCATTAAGGAGTTGTAGTCTGATCTGGCCGAAGACTGAAAATTACTACCGTATGTGATGGTTTTGGCATTTGTGGACATTTGTCCTCTAGAAACTAGATTGTGACCACCAAACTCATTTCATATTGGCCATCCATCAGGTGGTAACAAATTTTAGTCCACTGCCATCTGGGCTGTATGTCAATGGGTGACATCATGGCTGGAAAAGACATCTGTTGGAAAAGTAATATGGCAAAACAAAATTTCCAATAAATTATTGGAATGTATTGGGAACTTTTGTATTTCAAAAAGTGGAGGAAGTAATCAGGGGGACAGCCATTTTAGACTCGATTCTGACCTACAGCGAGGAATTGGGTGGGAATCTGAAAGTGAAAGGCAATTTGTGTGAAAGTGATCATGAAATGATAGATTTCATGATTCTAAGGAAAGAAAACAGAGAGTGACAAAATAAGGACAATTGGACTTCAAAAAAGCAGATTTTAACAAACTCTGAGAGCAGGTAGGTAAGGTCCCATTAGAAGAAAATCTAAAGGAAAAAGGATTTCAGGAGAGCTGGCAGTTTCTCCAGGAGACAATATTAAAGGCACCACTGCAAACTATCCCAATGTGAAGGAAAGATAGGAAGAATAGTAAAGGGCCCAGATGGCTCCACCAGGAACTCTTTAATGACCTGAAAATCAAAGAGGAATCCTACAAAATGTGGAAACATGGACAAATTGCTTAAGACGAATACAAAAGAATAGCACACGCATATGGGGACAAAATCAGACAGGCTAAGGCACAAAATGAGTTATACTTAGCAAAGGACATAAAAGACAATAAGAAGAGGTTCTTTAAATACATTAGGACCAAGAGAAAGAGGATGGAAAGTGTAGGTCTTCTACTTAGCAGGAAGGAGAGCTAATAACTGCTGCATCAAGAAGCTTGACGTGTTTAATGCCCATTTTGCTTCAGCCTTCACTAAAAAGGTTAATGGTGACCAGATACTCAACACAAATAGGGAAAGAACAGGTTAAAGAATATTTAGATAGTTGGATGTATTCATGTCAGCAGGGCCTGATGAAATTCATCTTAAGGTATTTAAGGAACTAGCTGAAGCAATCTTGGAACCATTAACAATTATCTTTTAGAGTTCATGGAGGACAGGTGAGGTGCCAGAGGACTCAAGAAGGGAAAACATAGTACCTATCTTTAAAAAAGGGGAACAAGAAGGACCCTGGGGAATTATAGACCAGTCAGCCTAACTTCAATACTTGGAAAGATACTGGATCAAATTATTAAACAATCAGTTTCTAAGCACCTAGAGGATAATAGGATTATAAGGAATAGACAGCATGGATTTGTCAAGAACAGATCATGCCAAAGCAACCTAGTTTCTTTCTTTGACAGGGTTACTGGTCTGGTGGATAGGGGGAAAGCAGTAGATGTGATACAGCTTAATTTTAGAAAGGCTTTTGACACAGTCCCACAATACATTATCATAAGAAAACTAGGGAAATGTGGTCTAGATTAAATTACTATAAAGTGGATGAATACCTAGTTGAAAGACTCTACTCAAAGAGTAGTTATCAATGATTCACTGTCAAAATGGGAGGGCATATCTAATGAGGTTCTACTGGGGTCAGTCCTGAGTCCAGTAAAATTCAATATTTTCATTAATAGCTTGGGTAATGGAGTGGAGATTATGCTTATAAAACTTGCAGATGACGCCAAACTGGGAACGGTTGCAAGCACTCTGGAAGACAGGATTAGAATTCAAAACAACCTTGACAAATTGGTCTGAATTCAACAAGATGAAATTCAACAAAAAAAAGTGCAAAGTACTTCACTTAGGAAGGAAAAATCAAATATACAACTACAAAATGGGGAAGAACTGGCTAGGTGATAGTAGGGATGAAAAGGAGCTGGAGGTTACAGTGGATCCCAAATTAAGTCAACAGTCTGATGCAGTTGCAAAAAAAGCCAATATCATTCTGGAATGTATTAACCGGAGTGTTGTATGTAAGACACGAGAGGTAATTGTCCTGCTTTGCTTGGCCCTGGTGAGGACTCTGCTGGAGTACTGTGTCCAATTCTGGGTGAGAGTCCAGATGAGAGCAACAAAAATGGTAAAAGTTTTAGAAAACCTCACCTATGAGGAAAGGTTAAAAAAACTGGTTCTGTTTAGTCTTAAGAAAAGAAGACTGAGGGAGGACCTGATAAGAGTCTTCAAATATGTTAAGGGCTGTTATAAAAAGGACTGTGATCAATTGTTCTCTATGTCCACTGAAGATAAAACAAGAAGTAACGGGCTTAATCTGCAGCAAGGGAGATTTAGGTGAGATTTTAGGAACAACTTTCTATTTATAAGGGATAGTGGAATCCCCATTGTTGGAGGATTTTAAGAACAGCTTGGACAGATACCTGTCAGGGATGGTCAAAGTTTACTTGGTCCTGCCTCAGCACAGGGGGCTGGACTTGATGACTTCTGGAGGTCCCTTCCAGCTCTGTATTTCTATGATTCTATGATAAGGTGGAAGGCTCTGTTATCTCATTTGTCATTGTTAATGATATCAGGTGCTATTAGTGACACAGGTAGGATTTATAAAAAATGGTATGTGGTTTTCATCTTGATGGCATCACTTTGATGGGAGTGATGAGACTAAAACCCAGACACAAAACTCAGAAAATGTATGCGTTTCAGGTGGCATAATTACAACACGATAGGTGGAATGTATAAACCATGAGTGGCCAAACTGTGGCTCGTGAGCCACATGTGACCCTTTTACCATTAAAGTGTGGCTCGCAGAGCCCTCCATGCCCCCCCTTCTCCACCTACCAAACCGGGAGGGTGGGGGGTGGAGCTCAGGACCTCTGCCTTGCAGCGGGGTGGTGGGATAGGGGCTTCTGCCCAGTGGGAAGGGGCATCTCGGGTCTTCAGCCTACTGGGGTCGGCACCAATGTTCCACCCATGTGCAGAATACATTTTGTTATGTGCATCAAGGTAATGTGTGGATGTGCGCCACCAGTAGAAACAAAAAACCTAGATATAATATATATTTTTTAAAAGTTACCAGTTGGGATAATTACTCCAGCCAGTACAACTTAGGCATTTTAGAACTCACTACTCAAAGAATTAAATTTAAGTGTAAGAGAGAAATAAAAATTATGAAATGCATAGATCACTCAAAAAACTAAAATAACACACTTTGAAAGAATAAAATTACAGAGAATATATGGGCATTGCAGGAAGTTCCAAGAAGTAACCACAATAACAACAGTGTTGGGAGGTGTGCGACAGGACCCTGTGTGTATGTGTGCGCAACACATGGACACTGTGTGTATGTGTGACTGTGTGTGTGTGTGTGTGTGTGTGTGTGTGTGAGACACACACACAGACTGTGTGTGCTGGCTGTTGGGGAAGTTTCTGAGAGACGCGCGTCCGCTGACTCTTTAAGGCAGTCACTGAAAGCTTTCCTCCTCCTAAACCATGTCCCCCCTACCCTGCTCTGCAGAGATGGGTACATGGGCAGGGGGAGAGACTGTGTGTGTGTGTGTGTGTGTGTGAGAGAGAGAGACAGACAGACACAGATTGTGTGTGCTGGCTGCTGGGGAAGTCTCTGAGAGACCATGCACTGTCTCTTTACGGCACTCACCAGAAGGCTTGTTCAGATCTCAGAGCTACTGTGAGTCCTGATGAGCCCTGTCCCCTCTACCTTGCTCTGTGGAGATGGGCTACAGGGGCTGGGGGAGGGGGACACCTTAACATCAGCACCCTCCTTTCCTCCTCCCCTCCCCCCACTCTGCACAGCCAGCAGGAGGGTCCCGGGAGCAGCTGCAGGAGCACCATGGCTGCAAAGCAGCGGGGGTGCGGACGAGCACCTGAACACACGCTGCTGGATGTGCGCGGCTCTGCTAATCAACTGAGCGGCTGCCCAAGCGCGCAGCTTACAGGGAACACAGCTTGGGACTTCAGCAGGAGCGGGGCTGAAGCAGGTGTGCCCTGGCTCTCGAACTTCTGAAGATTGTCGTATGTTGCTTGGAGGGCCAGTAAGTTTGGCCACCCCTGGTATGAACTAGCATTCCTGGCACTTCTGATGTTAATGGGTTCATGGTATAAAGGTTAGGTTTGTGCTATTTGACTTGATTCCATTTTTGTTTACTTCATAAATGTTTCTTCTTTTTTTTTCCCTCAGAGTGATCGACTGCTCATTAAAGGTGGAAGAATTATCAATGATGACTACTCCTTCTATGCAGACATATACCTGGAAGATGGACTGATAAAGTTGGTTTTTAAAATACTGAACATTTTTGCATGCATATTAATCATGATAGTGAGCTTGACTCCTACTGCCTGCACACCTCTGTGGATGCCTGTTAATGTTGTATGTTGTAGAGGAATATTTTATTTATTATAAAAATCTGCTTTTCATCTTTGCTAGTGTCAGACAGGTAGAGGAGTCCGTCAGTCAGTGTGACTGGAGTTCTTTGCACCTGCAATGGGTCCATTCTCAGTTACTTCTGACAGGACTTAGTCTATGCCAAAGCCTGTGCAGCGCAGGTAGTAGCACAAGCCCAGCCAAGCTGTCAGGTGCATCTAGTGCAAGAGATCCCAGGCGAAGATGAACGGTTACTGGCTCAATGTGCTGTGGGGTGCTTGTTACAGCTATTTTCACTTGCTGATATTGGTGCCATTTTGTGCTGTATGTGGCTACTGAGCCCCTACATAGGCACCTTTTCTCACACGGAACCCCTAGTGTGTGTCCCATGTACATGTACTGCTGCTCTCTTGTACACCAACATTGTGTACACCGCTGCTTGTGCACTGAATATATATGCTCTGTGTTCCCTCTTTTTACACACTTATATGGAGATGGGCAGGTGTCACCTTCCTCAGGGTACAATCTGGACTGTTGAACAGCTATATCCCCTCAGCTCTACAGTCTTTTACACTGCTTTACTGTGAACTGCCACCGCTGGGAGTCCTGCTTATACACAGCCACTCCCATGTAAAATAACTCCCAGCTGAATACATGAATGCTCTCCCAGCCACTCATGAGTTACATACAGGGTGACACCTGCATGTTCTTAGTCCCAGCCTTGACCGCAGAAATGTGCATCTTGTACTGTACAGAACCCTCCTGGACAAGACAAGCTCATAGTGAGTCCGTCATTTCAACAAAGGAAAATGATTATGCTCCAGCCTTGTTGTCTCAAGTGGAGTTTCCCACACAGTCTAATCCAAACACACTGGTTAAGATAAAACAATAAGATAAGTTTATTAACTACAGAAAGATGGATTTTAAAGAATTACGAGTGATAAGGCATAAAGTCAGAATTGGTTACAAAAGAAATAAAAAGATAAAAACACAAGCGAATTTCTAAACTTTAACAAGCTAGTAGGATTTAAAGCAAGTCTCTTTCTCTCACCACAAATTGTAATAGTTTACAGGATGGATTTTCTTTCAGCCAGGGACCCCTCTCCTAGTTCAGAGTCATTTCAGGTGTGTGTTTGATGTCATGAGGAGAAGTGAGGTGGAAGCCACTGTTTCACATACTTATACCCCCTCCCCTCTTTGAAGATTGCCCCCCCCACACATATCTGGGTGCAGACAAACAGTCTCTTGTGTACGTGAGGTTGGAGCTATCTCTGAGATGAAATGTAATTTTCTTGTTTACACCTTCTCGGTGCTGAAGAATGGCTGCTTAAGCCAGTGATCGGTTTTTAACACCTGGCTGGGGTGCCAGTGAGCCTTTGTCTCTGAAAGACTGGTTTGGACCTGCTTGTCTGAACCTTGGAGCATGTTATAACAATGGTACATAGTAAGAATCTTATAATTTTACATATAGTGTTGATACAGACATTTTACCGAGACAATAATACTCAGCAGGTTGTGACTTTTCAAATGATACCTCACAAGGCATATTTTGTACAAAATATATCATAGTCTTGTAAAAGTGATGACCATAATAGTATAGACTGTCACAGCAAGATTAGGCCCTAAATCATCTACTAAATTAAATAGAGAGAACCTGCAACAACTTCAGGATGCCAGCTGCAGGAACAATACAAATTCTCTTTGGATAAACATATTGCTTCAGAAACTCATGTTTCTGATAGCCTTGAATAGATGCAGACAGTTGAGGTGCAAGGTTCCTCGTGCAGTTCTGTGCTTCTCACTCTGGGCCTTGGCTGAGAAGAAATATTGCTAGTCTTGCTGAATTGTGGAAGTGCACAAATGTTGTGATATTCACAAATAGCCAATAGACTAGTTTGTGACCACCAAACTTTCTTCACTTGTGACATATGCAGGTCTCCAGAGGCCAAAAGTTAGTGCATGAAAAAATAACAACAATCAATAAATAATACACTGTTTCCCTGTCTTAGGAGTTCCTTTTTTGTAGATGGACACTGTCAGACTAAAAAATATGTTCTTTAAACAATTATCCATCCCTGTGTTGTTAATAATTCCATAGATGATTACAACAGAAAGAATATAAACAATGTAATGCACCTCATTCATCCTGGACAATGAAAGACTATTCTGTTTTATGATTCTTTCTAGTCAATTTCCCTTTCTGACTCTTGTGCAGTTGCTCAGCACTGGACATGTCCATTGCAAAAAGGAAACAGGAGTGCTTAAATCCCAAGAAAATCTTATTTTAACTGGAGCTAACAAAAACACCCATGTTGGTTTGCACCATCAGCCGATTAGCATCCCTTTAATAAGTGTTTTACTTCACCTTAGTGCTACCCTTTTTTGTTCAGATGCACATTCTCTGTGGAGTGTTGTAAGCATGTCATATAATAAAACAAATGAGGTTGACCTTTGAGTTACCTTGAGGTCTGAAATCCATTGTGAATTTTAGGCTCCGATCCTGCAAACACTTCGGGTGGGATCCACAAAGGGACTTAAGTGTTGCAAAACTGAGCATCATGGCTCCTAACTTTTAGGCACTTAGAAAATCACAGGAACAAACACTGTGATCTGCAAAACCTGAGGGAGGTGCTCAGGCTCCATATACAATGCAATAGACTGCGATTCACAAAGCCAGCATGGCAGTGGGGGAGCTGCCTAAACTAGCCAATGGGAGACACCAACCAGAGGGATATGTGCTAAGCCCTGCCCCTCTCAGGGAGACAAGCGCCTAAGTCTGGGCTGCAGGGAAGTGCCTAGCTCTGCTAGTGATCCACAAACTAGGGGAAGATAAGAGCTTGGCCACCTAAGATGCATGTGGGACATTCAACAAAACAGCTGGGGGGAGGGGAGGAGGACAAGGATGTCCCTTACAATCTTTAGCTCAGCGGTAGGGTACTCACCCAGGATGTGGGAAACCCCTGGTTCATGTCCCCGCTCCTCGGTAGGAGAGAAAGCATTTGAACAGGGCTCTGCCACCTCTCAGGTAAGTGCCCCAACTATGAGGCTATGGACTATTCGGATGTGGGGCTCCCTCAATCTCTCCTGCTGAAATTGTTCCATTTTAATTAAACAATGGCATTCTTAAATATGACGTGGGCCACAGAACGAGTTAGAATGATTCTATCGCCCTGTGCCTCGGGCACTCAGCTAAGAGGTGGCAGATTCCTGTTCATATCCCTTCTCCCCCTCAAGGGGTGGGGGCTTGAATCAGAGGTCTCCCACGCCCTGAGTGAGTACCCTAACCACTGGGTTAACGATTACAAGGGAGGCCTTGCTCCTGCAGCTGTTCTGTGTGAACTTGTCTGAGGGGCCCAATCCAGTAGGCATGCTCAGAAGCTGCTTACAGGATTTGGGCCCCTGTGCATGACTTGGCCAGCCAAACACTAGTCTCCCCCAGTCTGTGAATCACTGTGGGGCTTAGGCGGGAGATAAGCCTCCGGGTGCTTATCATGAGGCAGTAGTGCACATGCTCAGGCCTAGAGAGAGGCTGCCTAGAGTGAGGCTCTATACCCAGAGGAAAAAAACATAGGCAGCTACAGGGTTAGGCAGCAGCCATGTGGGTGTCTTGTGGATTGCAGTGGTGCCTAAAAACAGGACTTGGGCTCCTAAAAATGGGACTTAGGTGCCTAAGTAGCTGCCGTGGATCCCACCCTTTGTTCACAAATCTGAGTAAGCGCACAGAGCTCAATGGGGATTTCTCATGTGCATAAATTTAAGCCTGTGAGTAAGTGGATTCAGGATTGGGGCCTCTATGTGTTATGCCCTAGTCAACTTGCTTTGTTCACAGGAAATTATAGATCATGACAACTGTTTGAGAGGGTGAATCCTGTAATTTGCTAATGATTACTGGTGCATCAAATGGTGTCTGGGGGCATTTGCATGGTAGCTAGAATACAACTATGAGCATCATTCACTTTCTCTCTCACTTGTAAGCAGCAACTAAATGACCCCACTTTCTCATTAGCATACAAATATTATTCCAAAATGAACTGTCCAAGAAGCCTGACTCACCACCTCTTGCTCAGCGTTCTAGACAAACAGAATAAAAATCACTGAGCAATGCCAGTGAGGATCAGCCTCCTTCCAGCAGGCTTAACCTGGGTGGCAACACTAGAAGTAAGACACCACCTTGCTATCCGCACAAGCCAAGTGTAGTGAAATCCATTCACTTCAACATACAGTAATGGAGTGCAGCAATGTTGAGGAAGCTGATGCTCTGCAATGGAGTGAGAATGGCTCAGGCCCTGGTTCAGCAAAGCACTTCTACACATGCATAACACTCTTGGACTTCAGCGGGACTTAAGCATGTGTTTAAATGCTTAACTTTAAGCACATCCCAAAGCCCATCCTTTTTCAGCAAAGCATGTGCTTAAGTGCTTTGTTGAACCAGGGTCTGAAAAGATGATATTTTTACGGGGGAAATAAAACCAGCTTACTTTTATTTTTTAGTTTTCTTGTTTTTCACAGTGTTCACAGGTAGTCTTTGGAATGTTATTCTTGTTTCAAAGTAGAATTTAAAGGAGATGGATCTTAGTTCTTTTTTCCATTCTCAGATCTTTTTGCCACACAAACACTGCACAGAGAAAGCAATGTAGCTCTGATTATAACATTAGGGATGAACGATCATCTGGTGTAAATTGACTTAGTTCCACTGCAAACAATAGAGAAATGCTGATTTAAACAAGCTGATGATCTTCCCCCTATTTTCATTTGTTGCGTACCTTGTGATATTTCTTTGCAATTCAAATTTGAAGAATCCCGAAGCATCTTAAGTCCCATTTTTGAAACCTGTTGTGCTGGTCTGCTTGCATTCATGCATCTGTACTAATTCCCTACCTATTTTTCACTCTATAATTAGCTACATTAATATTTATCATAGTTGTAAACATGTTACAGCGTACCTCCCAGTGTAATGCAACATTTGGGTGACTATTGGGCATTTACACACACAGCTATATGGCCTCACGCTGAGCTAGCATCAGCTCTAACTAGCTAAGCTTGGTTAGTACTTAGAATGGAGACTTCGAGCAAAATTCCAGATATTGCAGGAAGCAGTGTGGTTAATTCAGAAACTGGTGCTCTTCCCTTAGACTAGAATCAAGACCTGTGCCCCTCTGTAGTATGGGACACGGTGCTGTTGGATGTGGAGTCCTTTGGATGAGATGTAAAAATGAGCTCTTGATCTCCTGTGGTTCTTTTTTTAACTCTGGTTGTTTGGCCAAATTCCAGTTTGAGTAATTACTAGTAGTTTCCCCTGGGTATAATTAATAGTTATATTCATTTTCCATCCTAAATTGTTGCTACAGGCTGTTAAACAGTTGCCAAGTTTCACTTCATGGGTAGCTATTGCGTTTTAACGTTGCGCAAAATAAATTCGGGATCTATGTGTCTTGGATGAGTACATATATACATGCACGTAAATATTATCTTATCCCACAGAAAATCTATATTGAAAGGGAATTAGGGCTAAGAATATGTATCAGTAATTTAGGGGAAACTACATTACAGGGGTGTGGTAATTATCCTAAAACAAAATAGTATAAGCCCAGGAAGTTCACAGTTAATGTTAACCAAAAAACAAATCCAAGCAAGCTGAGGTGTGGAAATGCAGGTTTGTGGTACCCATAGAAACTTAACTTTGCCCTGTCGTGACCCCAGGAGGGATTAATAATTTTTGAAATCAAACACGTTTTTAAAAATCAGTTTTAATCTAAGTGGAGTCCACAAACACTAAAATTCGTTCCTTGTGATTGTATGGATTTTGCATGGTGTCACTATAAGACAGGGTTGAGATTTCTACTGAAGAAGAAGCTTTCAGTTATGAAGAATTACAAGGGGAATTACAAGACCTTTAATTCACATATATTGAAATATAGCCTATGCACAAAATTGAGTTTTAACTATAGGAGAAGTTTGAAGAAACTGTGACTACAGTTTGTTTCGGTGACCTAACTGTGCACTTTCATACTTTAAAATGAATTGAATTTCTTTTAAGTTTAATCTTAGTTTTGAATGTCTTGGGTTTACAGTGTTTGGTTTTGAAATAATTGCAACTTCCCTGTAATATATGGTAATAAAAATATTAATAATACAAAATTACTGATATGCGCTCTCAACCTTGATTCTATCTTAATTTAGTTTTTGTCTGGAAATTTTCTTGTGCCTTTCCTGCTGTTTAGACAAATAGGAGAGAATTTGATTGTTCCTGGTGGAGTAAAGACCATTGAGGCTAATGGACGTATGGTTATCCCCGGAGGAATCGATGTCAACACTTACCTACAAAAGCCCTACCAAGGAATGACCGCTGTTGATGACTTCTATCAAGGCACAAAAGCAGCTCTAGCAGGCGGTACCACCATGATCAGTAAGTACTAAAACACTCTCACCTCTCAAATCTAACTGTCTTGGGGCTGAGCGCAACCTGCTGTTTTCAGTTCACTGGGTTTATCTGTGTATATTCTACACCGCTGTTTTCAGAAGTCATTTAAGATCAGATCAATGTCTGGGTCTTGTGAGGCTGGAATCTCCACTGATTACTGTAGACAACTTTACCAGGATCAACATGAAAATGAGGTTACCCTTAGAAAAAGCAGCCGCTCCTAGGGTAGTGTTGTTGGGATTCCCTCTGAAATTTTTTCTACCCGACTTATCCAGAGCACCATGTCTGCTTCTGGGAGAACATTTCATCCATTTCTCTGAGAACCAAAACACTTAGTTTGACTCCAGATTTTGTCACTTACTTTCCTTTATCTGGCAAACAGCAAAGCTATGTTGAGTTGATCAGACTCAAGCGTAGGAGGTGAGTATAGAGCGTACCACACATCCAAAGTTACAGAGAATACTTCTTCCTTTATATACATTTGCAGATTCCATTGCATTTGCTATACATTACATCACACATTTTTGGGTTGGCTTGGTTACTTTGCAGGAACCAATCCAACATGCTCTCTCCATGTGCTGTTCATGTGGGAACCTGTTCTTTAATTTGAGATTTAGCTTGTCAGATGTCCCTAGCATTAGGGTGTAGCTGCTTATGTTAGCTAGCACAGACATCCTGACTTCAGCATACTGCTTTTCAAGCCCCTATATACAACTTAACTATCCATTCGCCTTGCCTTATTTCTTAGTGGGCATGATTGGGAAGTTATTTATGTCAAGCCGGCTCTACAAGTGTATCCTGGATTTCTCTCACATAACAAGCATGAAATTTACTATACTTGCTATCACTGATTTTTTTATCAGTTTATACAGTGCAGTAACAATGCAAAGCAACAATTCTAGTAAACTGTTGTGCTTACAGTGTAATATCAGATACTGGTAAAAAATTTGGAAAATAATAAAATAGTGGCATAAGGAATCCGATATGAGACCAGGGAGGTCTGAAGCCTGCTTACACCTACATCCTGGAAGCAGGATGTTCTGGTAAGGGATTCCTGGCTGTTAAACTCATCCTTTCATTAAATTGCCGAGCAAGCCTCATCTTTTCTGCCTAGCATTTGCTTGGCTCTGGACTAAGATTATGTGGGGCAGATCCTCAACTGGAGTAAATTGCCAAAGCTGTCTTCTGCTGCCCCATGGAGTTTTGTTCCCTTTGAGTTGGGAGTGGTTGGTGGGGGATGGCTAGTTTTGCTGGATGGTACTTTGCTTTGAATGTATGTCATGCAGCAAAAGGCCATGGAAATAGGCACATAATACATTATTGTTTTTTAATAGTGGAAAGAGTTGCTTTTCAGTATATTTTCTTCAGCTAGATGCACCCATATCTTTTAGCCTATTTAGAAAGTCTAAACAGGCATTTATTTCCATCCTCTCTGGATTGGAAAAGCAGATTCACTTTTAAGCAGGTGGATAATATTGTACAGTATATTCCAGTAAAGATGTCAGAACAGCATTCTCCTAACTATCTCTGCTGGACTCCACTGTACATGTTTGTGTAGCTGTTTTAAATGGCTGCTCTATTGTAATCAATGGAAAGTTCAAATGCATTAAGAACATGAGGTGGGACCTGCCAGCTATATTCAGTACATTTGCATCAATGAAGAGGTTAAAACAGATTTATTTCTGGATAATAGTTAAATAGCTGTATTTTTCCTTTTGGAAGTTATTTAGTTTATTTAATGTAGCTGCTAGGACTGTTTAATTTAAGGATTTCTCTACTTTATTAATAGTGTGAAGTTTCTTAATGTGCTTTTCCTTTTTTCAAAATTGAAAAATGCCCAGTAAAAGGCTCAATTCTATACATTCAGTAGTACACCATAAGATTTGCATATGTGAAGATACAGTACACCTTGCTGTGTTTTCATTATTCAAGTAGAACCCAGGCCTGCAAACATGAGTAATTCTACATGCATCATTAGTCCCAGTCATTATCACCCTGATTCTTAAAGCCAGTGTGACTGAGTGGTTAAGACTTGAATCTTATATTTTGGAGCCTTGGGTTCTGTTCCCAGTGCTGCCTTAAGAGCTCTTCATTAATTTATTGGTAAAGCAGAATGGGCTAATTCATGACAGCCTTCTAGAAAAGGGTATAAGGCCTTGGTCAATAATGAGAGTTATGAATTGCATAGGAATGTAAATGGCAGTCAGTAGAGACCAGAATTCATGATCTCCTGCATACCAGCTCAGTGCACCTTCACTAAGCTACAGGGTGTTTAGATCTCTCTCTCTCTCTCTCTCGCTCACATTTCCTGACTTGATGGTATAGCAAAACAGGTTGCTAGATTCAGCTTCAATGCAGAATGTTCTGCAAAAGCCGGAATACTTGAGAAGTCTGTATCTGTCCCACATCCTGCAATTTACACCGTGCCAATGAAAATCCTGCTTTGTTGTAGGTTCACTGTAGATAATCACTGAAACTGCAGAATAGGAAATATGTGCAATTTGTGTAACAGGTGCTTCATCTATATTTCAGTTGATCACGTGGTCCCTGAAGCTGGAGTGAGTTTATTGACCTCATTTGAAAAGTGGCATGAGGCAGCTGACACCAAATCCTGTTGTGATTACTCTCTCCATGTGGATATCACTAACTGGTATGATGGGATCCGAGAAGAGCTGGATATCCTGGTGCAAGATAAAGGTTAATTAATGAAAATAAAATGTTTTCATTTTCTCTAAGCAATGTGCAAATGCTCAATTCTGAAGTACTCCAGATAGTCCTGTTATTTCCCACAAAGAGGCATATAGGTATTAGATCCCTGGCCATGAACCTTTGCATTCATTTACCTCTGTGTAAAGTGGGTCCGAAACTCCATGCACTGCTATTAATCAGGAGTAACTCCATTAGAGGCAGTAGAGATATGCCAGCACAGATAAGGAGAATTCAGATCAGCAAGGGGAAAATGTTATCTGATAAAAATGGTAGCACTTGACAGATGGAAATAACGCTATGCAAAGCGCAAGGCAGGCCTTATATTAAGATAACAAAATTAGGAGACCAACCTTGAGTGCTTGGACAGTCGTCATAGGCTATTCATCTTTGAACAACAATGCCACATGGCACTTCACCTGCTTTGACATGAAATTTGGAAATATATGGCTAATTTTCAAAATTAAGGCCAAGATTTTCAAAACTTGGAGCCTAAAGTTAGGATTCTAAATCCACATTTAGGCATCTGCAGTAGTGACCTGATTTTCAGAACTGCTGACCACTCAGCAGCTCCCACTGGAAGATAGTGGAGGCCCAATACTTATGAAAATCAGGTTACTTATTTCGGAGCCTAACTTTAGATGCTTTTTTAAAAAAAAATCTTGGTCTAGGTGCCTAAGTTGTGCCCACAAAACACACATTTACATAGTTCATTACCCATTTGTTCATGTGCACTCAGAGTTCCTGGGAACCAATTAGGTATTTATCTGGACTACATATGCTGACTCTTGTGTGTCAGAAAGCCAAATACATACATGCAGTGTCCTTTGTAGAGGGTTATGATGGACCAAATCTGAGAAGCTCTGTTTAAATAGAACTGTACTGTATAACTATACAAACAAAGCAGAGCTTGTTTACTGTGTAGACAGTTTTTCAGTCAGAAACCACATAGATGGAGTAATATAGGAGCTTTCAGCCTGAGCAGCACTACTGTAACAGTACACCTGCTTTGTAACCAGATTTTAGGCCACAAAATTTTCTATCGACCTTTAAAGTCTTTAATCTTCAGGATTATGTACAATTTGGGCAAAATGTAGTTAATTTTACAATGCTTTTTATAATAGGGCTGATTTTACAGGCTGACAGCATTTGCCATTGTTGACAGTGCCAAATCAGTCCTCTGCCCCTGCTATCATCTTTGATCATGTGAATTTAAATCTAGTTTCAGCTGGATTTACTATCGAGCAAGTGTACTACAGCGTGTATCAAAGGTTAGCTGTTATTTTCCGGAGCTGGCTCACAAATGGCTCTAGTATGTGCTTGAGGGCTTACATTAAGAGCCGGGTGCAGACAACTGGGTTAATAGTTTGCTCCCAGTATAGAAATTTGAATTTTCAATACAAATATGACCTGGCATTTACTTTAAGAAAGAATCTGTTCATTGGTGCAGAAAGCAGAATGTATTATGGGGTCCTAAGTGGATTGCTTGAGAGGTATAGCATTTGGAGGTCACCTTCGTTCTCACTGGTGCTGTAGTGTCTCGGTCAGTGTGAATTACTCAAGTGTGATAGGAGACATGGAGGTAAAGCCCAAATAAAGCCCAAATAAAATAGGATACTTTTTTCAACATGGCAGGAGCTTTAAAAATTAATATAGAATATCTGCTGAAAACTGGAAACATCTGAGCCAGATTCTCAGCTGGTATAAATGGTCTTGATGTGAATCTTCATTGCTCCATTGACATCAACTGAGGATCTAGACCAGGGGTCGGCAACGTTCGGCATGCGGCTCGCCAGGGTAAGCACCCTGGCAGGCCGGGCCAGTTTATTTACCTGCTGACGCAGCAGGTTCGGC